TACGGTACTCCCCGACCACTAAATAAGTCCGGTTTTCCTTTCTGACGCTAGAACTCCAGAACGAACGAACCGATTTCCACGGTTTTGCATTCGTTGGAAACTTCTCGGGCTCCATGAGGTTTATAACAAATAATTTAGGAAAAATTTCAACAGAAAAGTGGGAAATCTTTTTTCATATACAGCGCTATCTCTGATCCATAACATGTACTACGAATCAATATTTTAGGTACATGGCGCCGGTGCATGATGCATTATTTGACAGCTACTCATTGTTCTCTTCTCAGTTCATTTCATGTGACAAACCGTTATTGTGTTTGTAGTTTAAACTCTTAAAAACCATTTACTTTTTGAGGCATAAAAATCATTGTTTTTCATATGGGCAGATACGTTGCGTGTTCACGAATGGGGAAACCAAAAGCTTGATTTGTGTTAACGTTAGACCAAAAAGCAAAAAATGTGCTTTACAAAGGAGCACTTTAATAAAACGAATAATTTGCGGACACGTATAACGCTTCGATTCAGTATTTACTTTGGATTCACTTTCATTTACTTAGAAAAGATCAACTAAATAACACGTCATTTTTGTAATCGAAATGAATTCATCACTGTTGTCAAAAGTAATAAAAATTTTCCTTTTCAAATATAAAACAAAAAAAATCGTCATCTTTTAATCACCAAACGAAATGTTACGTAAAACGAAGCCTTCTGGTGGCGATACGGAGTTCGCCGGGTTTATTATAGTATATAATAGTTTTGAAAATGGAAATTACCGCGTATTTGTAGCGGCTTATTCCACTCAAAGAAGTTCGCGCCAAAGAGAATACAATATCTACTAGTTACGCTAAGTAAGTTCACACTGGCTGTTTAGAAACTCGCATGGACTCAGCAGCATTTTTTAAATTTTTACATATAATGTCACCGCTGACAGTAGTTGTATTTTTGAAATTCATTCCGGCCCTTGGGTGGAAAGTAATTTGTATTAGTTTTTCCCGCCCTAGGGAGAGAAAAAGCATTTACCACCCTATAATCAGATCGAAACAACACTATACTTTCCGAGTATGAGGAATGAAAAGAATATTTTTGAGAAGTTTTGTTTTGAAAATATATTACTTCACGAAGCTGACAAGCGCTAAATTGTGAAACAAAGACGTCCAACAAACGGAAAAGGATCAACAAAAAATTTTAGTTTTAGATATTTGTTAAGTTCTAAAAACGGAAAAATTCCCGTCTGTAAAAAAATATTTTTGGATACTTTTAAAATCGCTTATTTTTTAAGGACGCTTGAAACCAGTAGTAAACTCTGCAAATGTGGGCAATGATATGCGTGGCAGGATGGCTCGATCAATTACCAGAAGAAGCGAAAAGCAAGTTCAAAACCATATTAAAAGTTTCCCTAATTTTGAATACCATTATACCAGATCTCATAATCCTAATAGAAGATATCTACATCCAGATCTTTTAAAGCAATTAAAAAAGCATTACCTTATTGCAAGCTAACTACCTCAGTAGCTTATTACAAACGCAATATGTAGATATATTCTAAATTTGGGTATACACAATTTTCATAACAATAATGTTGATATGTTTGGGATGAAACTATTGCATCCAAAGATGCTCAAGAAGTTGTTTCATGCATCTTAAAACATAAAAAAATTAAGAAGTTAAAAACACATCATAGCTTACAGTGACATGTGCAAAATAGAAACATTAAAGTAGCTTTAATGTAAAAATTGTCCAAGCTTTTGAAAATAAGCGGCTCATTTATGTGCAAATATACACCATTATGTTTTCATCCTCAATTTAATTTAATTTATAACAATTTCATTCGGACTTAAGATACTTATTTTTTATACTTATGATGGCAATAAAATATATATTTACTGCCCTTATGAAAGACATACTTATTACTTTTATTCATTGCCAATTTATCTTTTTCTGCATGCTCTATGCTATTGGTTACAGTTAATGAATATTCTAGTAGCTAATTCAAAGAGTTTCAAGTAATGCTTGCTTATTACTGAAGCAATACATGTAATGATGTAACTCTTTCCTTAAATTACTTAAAAGTTTGCAGAATTAAATGAAAAATACTTTGTTGTAACATAAGAAAATTCTGTTACAGCTTAATTTTTATAAAGTGGTTTTACCATTTTATGCGAAACATCCATTTTCTACCCCTAAAGGAAGGATGGTAGATAGATTCAAACACGTTCATTGGGCTGTAAACTGCACTGATACAAGAACAGACAAATTTTTATCAAAATGTATCACTTAGCCACTTCTACCATAAAAATCACTACGTAAATTTACAGTGATATATTTATGATTATGTAACTTTGGCGTAATCATAATAACTTTTTATCTTTAACGACAAATTACTTGCAGCAAATAAGTTTGTGAAAAAAAAATACACAGTTCCCTTTAACTAAGTTTTCGTTGTAATGTATCGATGTAAAATAATAAGATTATTCAATATCGTGAAATCTACTGAAAATAAACGTAGCTCTAATGAAAAGTATGGACATTGCCCGACACCAGCCTATATAATTTGAGAAAATGTGCAAAGGAAAAGGGATTTATTTAAATATAAAATAAATACTGCTACAGAAGAGCCAAAATCAATATTTAGCAAATAAATCACTGCATATGCAAATAAAAAACTAAGTAAATGTCTCTAGAGGATTCATCAAAAAGTGAGAAAAGAATAAATGCAGACATCTTGTTAAAAGGTTGAAAGATCCCAAGACGTTAAACAATAATTTTATTTCAAATAAAAGTTGTTTCATTTTATTTATAATATTTTATATTAACGGCCAGAGCTGATCAAAATTCACAAAACTTGAGTGATTGCCCTACGTCACACACAATTCCAAACTAACATGTGCAAAAAAAACAAAAGTTCCCTCAAATTCTTCAGGGAGAGTATGATTCCACCAAAAGTAAACAAGTAAGAAAAATAAACAATATAAAAAAAATAAAAACATCCCTCTATGAACAAGAATTTTTAAAACCACACAATGTGTTAAAAATGGGAATAGGAAAATTTATATACAAACATATATTTTCAAGTTCAATATTTTTATTTTCAATTATTCTATTCTGAACAACTTCAAGGACTTGTCAAAAAGAAAGCGGCATAAGGTTTTCTTATGTTCGAAATAAGGTATTGGACCCTTCTGGAGTAATATTTCTTTTAATTCACAATCTTTTAAGCAGTTTTTTGTACCGATGGAGGGAGATTAAATGATTAACGATATGTTCCAGGGCAAAAATATATGACTAAAACATATATTAATTTGGCATTTTTAATTATTTTGAGGACCTCAATATTTTCTTGTGTAATTATTACTACCTAGTGTACAAAAACTGAGATGTAAGGAAAAGGTTTTTCTAACAAAGAGTACTCCAGGATCCTTCAAAGGCCATTTACTGTTCACTTCAAGTATTGGGAAAAGAGGTACAAAAAAATTTACAAAATCCAGCTTTAAATATGTCTAAAAAATACCACCAGTCTATCCATTTGTGTAGGAATACTTTTTCAAAAGATTTATATCCTCTGTTAGTTTCAAACTAATACAAAAAGAATTATTACTTTTTTTAATTCTCTAATACAATAATTTTAAGGCAACACCAAAAATTTTATAAAACTAATATTTTGATAATAATTATAGACGTGTTAGAGCAAAAAGATAAACTCATTATATTTTTGTTTAATTTTTCATAAAAAAAATATTCAAATGTTTGCAAACACAAAGCATTGTATAAGTTATGCACAAAAGCTTTTTTAATCATTCTTTTCTATTGCAAATTTCTAAACTCAGAAAGGTTTATCTTTTTTCAAACATTTAAACTGCTTATTTCATATGCAAATCTTGCAGTAGGGATTTGCATGCGTAATATTATTTATCTCAAGTGAAATGAAACATTTTTACAGAAAATGTGTTTAGAAACAAGAAAGATCTATATAATATTTCTATATATTGGACGTCAACGTTTTATTGTATATTGCATTGTAAAGTTTTTACAAATGTATGAATGAAATAAATAAATATATTATATTGAAAATATTTATTAATACCAAATGTTTGAAGAAAAAATTAGTCTTAATGTTAAATATGTAATAATTCTAAAACATGTTATAATTTGTTATTAAAACCTTTTTACTTGTTTTAATCCTGTTTTGTAACGATGATGATGTCAAGCGTTAAATCAAATTTACTACTAATTTAGTCATTACCAATTAAAAAAAATCTTCGGTGTACACTTATCGAGTTTTTTATTGAGCTTCATGAGAGGAGATTTCCGATACATTTGACAACTTATGTATATGAAAGAATTTGATAACATTAATCGAATAAGCACAACATTAAATTGTTGTAATATTTTCAGTATTTTGTGAAAATTATTAGTGGCAAGAGTATTTTAAAGGCATATTTATTCCCTTATGGTTGTGTTTCATTACTTGTCTTTTAGAATCCATATAAAAACTATAAAATAAAGCATTTGACAAGTGAACTTTACAAAAAAAGTATAAAAACTAACAAATTAATGACCAAAATCTTAACCCTACAATGCATTTTGTGCCATATCTGGTACAGTCACAATAATTAAGTTTACCGTTCATTTAAAGACCCCTAGTGTCATATGTCGAATGAAAGAATAATCTTTGAACCCTTAGCAACGGATTAGTAATGGTAAGTGTCATCGGATGGTTTTAGCTATCGATTGTTATTGTAATTCGTACACAATTTGAAAGTTTGACGCGTACTCGTGGTTAACGTAAATTGAAAATTCTTAAAAAAATAGTTTTTTGCATGTTAGAAAGCAAAAAAAATACTATTACATTAAAAATAGTGTACATAAAATGAAGGTAAGTAATTTTTTTTAAATATTACTATTTTTTGTTTATATATATCAACTTATTTAAGTGTTCCAGATATGGAACACTGTGCATTAGTTCACTTCTATTATTTTATTTTGGTTGGATTTTATTACAGATTATGGCAAAGAAGGTATTGTCTGACGAGTTGATTGAGCTGCATTTAGATATTCCGTCAGAAATTGAATACAGTCAAGACTTTTCAAGTGCGCAAAGTGATAATGACCTGGCGAAGAACAGAGAAAACTTGTACCAAATGAATGGAGTTGGTGACTCTGAAAATGAGCCTTCTCGGTATGCAGCATTTACTTCTGCTAATTGCAGTACCTTCCTCGACGAAAATATAAATGAAGAATCGACAAATCCTCAGCCCATCATATCAGGACCAAGTACTTCATCACGCCAAAATAGAAGTTGTTTCACTTTATCAGTTAGAAGAAATAAAATTACGAATAATGTAACTAATAAGAGGAAGAAAATAAATTTAATATGGTAAAAGAAATCTTTTGCAAAATGAACATCCACAATTTTCTGGAAGTACAAATTTAAAGCCATTAATCACAACTTTGCATACTCCATTGCAATATTATTATTATTTTTTTTGTGGTAATGTGGTATGATAAAAAGCCTGTAGTTTTGTCCTCATCGTTTGTACGACTACAGCCTATTAGCAAGGTTAGACGGTATTGCAAGAAACAGAAAAAGTACATTGAAGTAGATTGTCCCCAAATAGTAAAAGTTTATAATCAACATATGGGAGGAGTTGATTTGATGGCCTCTTTCTTGGAAAGCATAATATAAAAATGCGTACTTAAAAAATGGTATTTACGTTTGTTTTACCATTTTTTAGACATTACCACCATAAATTGCTGGCTACTGCACAAGAAGGTAGGAAAACAGGAGAAAGAGTCCAATCATATTAAATAAAACAATTCTAAACTAGAACTAGCTAAAACTCTTTGTATGTGTGGTCCGTCTTTAAAGACGGGCCAAAGAAAAAGAGAAAGACCCTCTCCTGCTGTAGATAACATTATCGAGAAGAAGAAAACAAATAATGCAGCTATCCTTCCATCTCGATATGTAAGACATGATAAATTTGATCATCTTCCCATATGTAACCAGAATCGACAACGCTGTAAGTATCCTCAGTGTAAAGAAAAACATACATATCTTGCGAAAAGTGTCGTGTTGAGTTGTGTTTGAACAAAGATAACAATTGTTTCAACAAATTTCATTCATAAACGTAATATATTTTAAACTATTTTATTACGTTCATTGTTCCTAATTAAGAGCCAAATATTAGTATAAATGCATATTGTACCACATATGGAACAAAATTTAATAAATGAATATCTATAAAACTAATGGATTTTGATTATTGTTTTCATACTTTATTATGTCTAGACACCATATAGAATCACATATATTTTTTTGAGATGATTTAAAAAAAATCATGCATTGTAGGGTTAAGTCAAAAACATTTTACGACATATCTACATTTGCTGAATAGGTACGTTTATTTTTTGGCGGAATATGCATATATATATTTATTTGTAACATTCAATTTTGTTGTAAGGAAACCTATACTTGAACATAATTGAAAATATCTGAAACAATTTCAATATTTTAACGTTGGATAAATTGAAATTAATTTTCTAACCCTTGCACAGACAACCTCAACAAGGACTTTTCATGACTGGTAGAAAAATATTATCTCACTACCCGGAAGTCCTCCAAAGTGAAGAATCACAAGTAACACTAGTGCTGCCCCGGCTGAATCTTTTCAATATAAAACCATTGTCATACCTATCATGGAATGTACTAAAAGAACGTACAGTACAGTACTGATGACGTCACTCCTCTTAAAAAATAATAAATTGTTACTAAATTTGATATTAATACTAGCACGGACATTTTGGAATAAGCTCCTTAGCTCCGAGGAAAAGGCTCGGCATCATATGAGGCCCTGAAGCTAATCGTCTCGCCCCTGCAATGTTCGGATATCCGGCTTTACAGTGTCAGGCTCGGATACGTAGGTATGGAGAGTCCACGGAAATAGCACCACTTCATATCTTTATGAAAATGATTGGCTGATTGACACATTGTTGAGGGAAGTATTAACAAAATCCACCTTTTACTACCTTTGAAATCTGAATCTAAAAACTGGTATTCCCGGGGCAACCTTAGGATTCAAGAGCATGTCTATGATCGATCTAAAGAGATCTGAGTTTTTATCATTAGCTTGGATTCTGTGGAGGTGAATAACCATGGACTACCTGAAATTAAGGTTATAATAGGTTGGGGAAAAAGTCTTTTCGCATTATAGTATGTATTAACTTGTAATAAAATCTCTGGCTGTAGTATTTGTGTCTGGCTGGTTTTGTTATCATTAAAAAGTTAAAATTTTAAAGATGTCAAAGATGCACCTTTCTCTGGTCGCCCTATTACGGATAAAATGGATGCCATTTTTGAAAAAGTGGAGCAAGATCGACATATCAGTAGTTACGGCGTAGCTGAACTGGGAATTGATCACAAAACAGTTTTGGCGCATTTGAATAAAGCTGGGTACAAAAAAAAAGCTCGATATTTGGGTAACCTCACGAGCTCACTGAAAGAAGCCTAATGAACCGTGTACTCATTTGTAATTCTTTATTACGACGTAATGAAACCCAATCATTTTTGAAGAAGCTGATAACTGGTGATGAAAAGTGGATCACGTACGACAAGAACGTGCGAAAAAGGTCATGGTCAAAGGCCGGTCAGGCTTCACAGACTGTGGCGTAACCCGGGTTAACTCGCAATAAGGTGATGTTGTGTGTGTGGTAGAATTTGAAGGGCATTATTCATAATGAGCTATTACCACCAGGCAGGACTATCGATTCTGAACTCTACTGCGAACAAATGATGAGATTAAAGCAAGAAGTTGAGAGAAAGCGGCCGTAATTGATCAACAGAATGGGTGTGGTGTTTCATCATGATAACGCTAGACCTCACACATCTATAGCCACTCAGCAAAAATTAAGAGAGTTTGGCTGGGAGGTGTAAATGCATCCGCTGTATAGTCCTGACCTTGCATCTTCAGATTTCCACCTGTTTCGGTCACTTCAGAAATGTTTAGGCAATTAGGTATTTTGATGAGAAGTCCCAAAATTTTTATAGCAATGGGAAAAGGTTATCGAACTAATATAAACTGTATTAAAAAATGTTTCTCACTTTCTTAAAAAATGCGAAGAAACTATTAGTTTGGCCTGCTCAGTCCCCCGACATGAATCCCATTGAAAACGCATGGGACATGTTACAACGAAGAGCTATGGTAAAACTTGCTCCAAACCTGATAAAAGAAGAACAACAAAAAACAAAGTAATAAAAGAACCTGGGACCTGATACGGCAGCTCGATTTGGATAACTTTATTTTGAGCATTAATAACCGATGCCAAACTCTAATTTACGTTAGGGGAGGAAATATTGATTATATGCATAGTTTAATTAAATGCCTTTTTTTGTTATTTTATGACTAAAATTTTCACAATTTTCTACATAAAATCCATTATTACAAAAACAAATTAAAAAATTTTGGTGCATCTCTTTTATGTCCTGCATTGGACGTCTTTCGGCTGAAATGATGATGATGATGCATCTCTTTTTATGTTTTGCAAGTATAACCCATAATAACTTAAATTTCATATGTAATTGTTTTAACTGAATATGTACCGAATTACATACAATAAGGTAAAAATGATATATCCCTAGGCAATGTTGATGTTTGTAGTTTAGCAGAGCCCTTGTAAATGGTTTTAGTTCATGAAAATGGAGAGCAACAATATTTTAAATTTCTTGGAATTTTGGGTGTACCTAGGGAAATATACTTAGCATACGTTGGTTTGCATATACCAATCCCTAGCACGAAAGACGTTTTAATTGCAGTACAAAAGTCGTTCCGAAGAGAAATAGTAATACATACGTGTAAAATCTTGCAATGCTCCAATTTGTATTTCCAGAAGAATCAGAGATCAGATTTGAATGTTAGGAAACTATATAAAATCAAGAATATAAGGAAAACGATATACATCCTTTAAAGAACAAAGCGCGTAAAGACCATGCACAAAAGCCCTCGCAGGTGAGATTCAGTCAAGCCTTCCAACAACCCGTGTCGCTATCAAACACTGAAGAGAATGGTGGTACTTTTGTAACATCACGATAGGATTCTACGAATTACAAAATGAGCAGCAAGCTAAATCATCGAGAATAAACCAGTGTAAAGAAAATTACTCAGAAAAGGACGATTACTATTCGACAACCTAATAGTAGTCCGTTTATTGTTTTTCATACTATTCAATTTACCTCCGTTCAAACGAATATAAACTGCTTTAGTATTTCTTAGCTACTTACCATGTAATTTTTAAATACTATTATTAGATATATTACTATAAAATATGCATTTAGTGTGCGGATATGAACCATAACAAAAGATGTTGGAGAAGGGCGGAAACGTCCTATGACAATTATGTTGTGGATGTTCGCTTGATGCTCCAATGCGTGATGCTCCATATCTTAAATAAACGAATGAGATATTATGACTTCCCCATCTCACGGAGACTAATATAAACTATGTCAGTCACACGATTACAAATAATTCGATAACCAAAAAAATATCAAGTTGTCTAGATTTACTACAGAAGTACCTATACTTCACAAGTATATACCTACCTCTCTTGCCACAGAAAACAATGCAGAGAAACCATATTTTATCAGTATGCCCATATTGGCGTTAGAGGAAATGACATCTGATAATGAAGTATCAATCCTTGAATCTGATCCATTTACTCAAAGAGAGTCATAAGTGATACAAGAAAATAAAGAACACCACCCAAGAGAGGACACATGAATAAAATGACCATTTAGCCAGGTGCAAAGCTCGAATGGCCGTTTCCTTGCTATCGTTGCTAATGACCTTATAATTATTAATAGCCTTCAATAAAGTCCCTCAACTGTTACGTTATCACATCGCTAAGAAAAACTTTAGATATATAACATTCTAATAAACTTTTATATAAAAAAAGTACTGATAATTTTTAGTTTAAATGCAAAAATTGTAATTGAAACAATTTGTTTTGAAGGCAAAATGACGTAGGTGCGTTGTATTTCTTCCAGAAATAGCAGGAACAATCTTTACATTTTTATTTTTTTCTTTTTTTACATTGACCATTTCATAGGAATAGAAATCTTTCAACTCTAATTATTTTGAATTACTTCATATGAAATTCTGTTATTTTGCATGATTTCATTTTTTTTTTGACTTCATTATCAAATCACAATATGGTACTGGTTAAAAAAATACGGTTGAAGTGATTATCTTACACATAATAGGTATAGATTTAAACGATATATTCCAGATTGAAACTGTTCAAAAACTTGGTATCAGCCTTATGTTCATATATCGTAGTATCAAGAGTTATAACCACACTGACGAATACCAGAAAAGATCGAATTGGCCACCTGGTGGTAGAACTACAAAAGGCTTTAATGCCTGATAGTGTCGATAAAGCCAGAAATCAACGAATCCCCACTAAAAAGCAAAAATCTTATCTATGTTAAGTTCCTCGTGCTGGATAACAGAAAAAGCAAGTTTACTGCTCTGTTTTAACTTTTAGCTGATTTTCATCACAGCCTGTTGAAAACACTAGACATTATATTTAGATTGTTTAAAATATTTTTGAGTTCTTTAATGTTTAAATAATAATTGTCTATATACATATATAGTTAGGAACTCCTCGGAATAAAAACAAAATAGAAGCAGTGCGCGAAAGAGACGCTGACACACTTTTCGGTGGTCCGTCGTCGAGGTGACACCATTCAAGGATTTTAAGTGTTAATATTGTGTTAGCAATTAGTTTAAGGCTATTTTAAGGATATTGCTCTGTAAGTAGTTTATTTGTTGTTGAACTGGTGTTAATAGTTCATCATTTTATTCCTTAATTTACCTTTTATATTTTTTCATCTTAATTGGAATCGCATTGTCAAATTGTCAAATGCCATGTTGTGATATTATTTTTAAAAAATCGTATGAAGTTCCTTAATTGTTAAATAATTATTAAACTAGCAACCCTCAAGCCACCTATATCTGACACTTTTTGTTCGCAACTATTGTTAAGAGAAGAAACTCTGCCCCCTAATTAGTCTCGAATATTAATAAATTGTCCATTGGGCGGCGAACGTTTGATTTAAATATCATAAAGTATTTTTCATTTCGAACACTATATAAAAATGAATTACTGTTCGTTAGTCTCACTAAAAGTCGAGAACAGCTGAACAGATTTATCTTACTCTTGAAATGTTCTAGGAGGTTCAGGAAAGGTTTAAAAGCTGAAAAAAATTTGAATCATTTCCGGGAAAACCCTAAAAACAGCCCTTTTCTATTTTCCATACAAAAGTTTTTTTGACATTAGATTTGACAACTAACTAATATGTCAATCATTCTGTTGCACTTCAGAACACGGAGATTTATGGCTTAAAGGTAAAAAGAAAAAAGAAAAGTATCATGGTTGACGATATTGTGTTATGATCATAGTTACGATATTCTATGAAGGCATCCAGTGCGCGAGAACTTTCTTTACTTTGTGATATCCTTTGCGATAGTGACATTCCAAGTAGTGTTTTTTTAATTGATATTTTCTGTGGCACTTTATTATTAAGCTTCTGTTAAGTGAGTGAGAAATTTTCTCACTTTGATTAATTACGTTTCGATGCCGAGGAGAAGTCTTTAAGGAGGAGTAGAGTTCACTCAGTCAGATATACATTTCTAATTTTGAAACTAACGCACACGAAGTCGCGGGCAAAAACTAGTTATAAATATTTATTATGTATTTATCATGTACAACACTAAGTTATCAAAGACAAATAGACTTTGATGAGAAAACAATGATCATGTCAATTTGACAAATGCAATAAATTTTCTTGTCCAAATTATTTTATAAAATAAACATATATGTACATATATGTATAAGGTTATTTAATGACGAAAATACACGGTGGTAGATTCATTGAGATGTAATTATGATAAACACCGACATTCAATAGTACATAACGGAGTAATCGTGGTTAATTACTTTGTTTACAAGATGGTCAATTTCTTTTGAAATTAAATATATCTATACTCTTTCTAAATAAACTAATTAAGTAGTCAGAAAGTCATCATGGTCAATATCTTGTGTCAATGATGGTATGGTGTGGCTTGTCTTATCTAGAAGTCACAAAACTACATTTTGGTGAAAAAGTACTGTAATAATGATAAGGTCCCGTATATCATATTGTGAAACCTCTCAGCAATTAAAAAAAATATTTTATAATAACTTTTTTTAAATATACTTTACAGCAGGACTGTTCAGTTAGCCACAAGCTACGAATTACCCAAGCGAGGTTTGAAACCAAAGTTCCGGACTACATAAGATCTGAAGACTGGCCCTCTTTTAGCTCAACCCTCAACCTCAAGTTATCGTCAGTTTTAGGGGATATGGTCTTCTCTGAAAGACACGATGATATCGAATACTTTGAAAACTGTGCAAACTTTCCCTTGAAAACTGTGCGGAAATCCATAGATTCGCAGCCAAATAGATTAAAGGCCTAGGTGGCTATTTCGAATAGAAAATTTCTTCATATTTTGCTGAAACAGACGTAATTAAATAGTATTATAGTGGTCATGCATATATATTACCATACTGTTTTTGGTAAACCACACAATTAACACTGATGGAGGTTTCACATTTAGAAGTAGTTATTTCAAAAGCATTTGCGAGACAAAACCCTTTTTCAATCCTATTGTTTGTTCATGTTTAGATGGCCTATTAAAATGTTTCAACCGTACGATTATGAATGGATCTAATAACCACTAGTGAAATGAATTGCACAAGAGATGAAAAACTTTCGAGAAACAAATAATTCTCCTGCAATTACCGAAATTGCATCATGTATTGTTGAAGAATATATAGTTAGGAACTCCTTGGACAAGAAACAAAATAGAAGCAGTGCGCAAAAGAAACGTTGACACTTTCTGGTGGTCCGTCGTCGAGGCGACATCCCTCAGGGGTTTTGACTGTTAATATTGTGTTAGCAATTAGTTTAAGGCTATTTTAAGGTTATTACTCTGTAAGTACTTTATGTGTTGTTTAACTGAAGTTAGCAGTTCATCATTTTATTCCTTAATTTACCTTTTATATTTGTTCATTTTAATTAATATCGCATAGTCAAATTGTCAAATGTCATACTGTTATTTTATTCTTAAAAATTCGAACGAATTTCCTTAATATATAATATAATTCATATGTAAGAATTTTGAAAGACACACTTAAATTTCATATATTTTTCGATTATACTACGCGGTTTTTATAATATGTAAAACCGCCTAGCATTTGTGAAAAACTTTATTTTTATATTTAGTTTAATGTTCCTCTCCAAATTACCCTTTAAATTCTTATTTCTGTAAAAAGGTGGAAAAGCGCATGATAAAGTAGGTATGAAGATGTCTATTTACTCGACCATATACTCGTAAATCACTAAAGCTTTATAAACAGTCGGCAGATACACAATCAATAATATCAACTTTTATGACTGATGAAGAACATGAAAATAACTTAAGGCAGTCATCCATTATTATAAAAACTTATTGGTATTCGTGATTATTATTAAAAATAAAACGAAATCAAAAACTGTTTAAAAGGAGAAAATTTTGGTTTAAATATGACGTCTGGACGCACGACTGCAGTTCACTGTGAGTGCGGACCGTTGAAGAATATAATTAAGAAGAAACTTCGAGAAATACAAAAACATTTAGAAAAAATTAAGTTTAATTTTAAAATATCATGGAACTTAGTGAAAGAAGTGACATCAGTGACGTCAGCGAGGCTGGCGTCTCTCTCTTTAAAAACAATGAATTTGTATTAAATCCTATGAACATTTAAGGAAAAAATTTTGAGCCGTTGCTTTTGTTGGAGTAGTGTAATCTGCCGAGATGTGCACTGGCAGGTTTTAGTTTATATATACATAAAAAAAAGAAGAGTGCGCGTCTGTCGTGCGTCGATTGTTTTATTGTCATTTTTACGAACAATTTTTCCCATGTAAGCTTGTATTGTTCATTACCATCTTCCGGGGTTTTTTACGCCCCTACAAATCATTTTATCTAAAATTAAGTACCTAGATAGAAATTTT